CAATATGTTCAATAAACTTGCAATCAGTCAAGAGCTGGGCTGAGTTAACACCAACATCACTGTATTTGCAGCATTGTACCAGATGTTAGATGTCTTTCTGTTGTGATTGGTGCCAAACGTGCTCTGACCGTTTGTGTATGAAGATAGAAAAGCAGTACGCAGTTTGCAGTAAAAAAATAAAATCGATGAAGCATTGCTTTGCGCAATAAGAATACATATCTCCAGTATGAAAACCAATTGAAGAATTGAGTATCCAGTGAAGTACGTGACACAGTAGTTACATCAAAAAGCATGTCTGTGCGTTGCTGGTTTGTGTTCTCTATCAATGCAGTTTCCAGAGGGTTCAGTTCTCAGTCACACTTACGGCTCCTACTAAGTTTCCTAGAATACATAGGCAAATGCAACCAAATCCACTGATTCGGGAAGCCAGTTTGGTAACAAAATGTTCTATTTAATTGTGTGATAGTAAAACCTGAAGTGAAACTTTAAAAATAAAAGCATATGGGTAAGATTATTTTCCTTTTATTTTTCATTATGTTGTTATAGCACTTAGTTTCCCAGTCTTCTTCCACTAAACACGTCCGACTTACAACCCAAACAACTTAAAGCCTTCCTTTTAAACAGGATGTGGCAGGTGAGTTTGAGTCAATAAGAGGCAGGAATAATGAGGGAAGTGTATCTTAAGCCAGAAAATGTCATACTCGGGTGGATTCAGATCACTTAAACTGTCTTATTTGTGGGGGAGGAGAAGATTTTTTCTCTGTATTAACAATAATCTCTTTTGGATTTTAGGAACTTCACATGACTGGAGATTACGATGTGGTGCTGTGGACCTTTATTTCACACTTTTTGGCCTCAGCAGACCTTCTTGTTTACCGTTACCAGAACTTGGACTTGTTCTTAATCTAAAAGAAAAGAAGGCTGTACTTAATCCAACGATTATCCCTGAATCAGTTGCAAATAATCAGGAACCTGTGAATAGTACTAACAATCACGGACAGTCAGTAGGATTTCAGAACACCGTAAGCACAAACCATCTGCATACATCCCATTCAGCTGGCTCTGAGTCTTTGTGTTGGTTGCTGATTTAATTTTGTATTGTGTTCAAGCTTCTCATGCCTTACCTAAGCTACCTTTATACCTTGTTACTCTTTATTCCTTCCACTTAAAAAGCTGCCATATACCTTAACTTTTTGATTTTTTTTTTAAACTGTTTTGCATACCGTATGCAAACTTTTTACTTGTTGTTTCTAGTCTCATCATTTCTGTTCTTTATAAAACTTTACTTTTTCTGTGTTGCTTATGAGACATGAAATGATTCACAGAAATGTTTGATGCTGTGAGGAAAACTTTATTAGACTAAGAATATTGCTTATAGGCAAGTTATGCAATTTTTCAAAACAAAAATTTTTATCAGTAAATTTCTTATGTCTTCAAATACATGGATATAACTCTTCCTAAACAACTTTGAGACTTGAATCTGATGATTTAGTACTGTGCTCTGAAGGATTTGTAACAACTTCTGAGAAATCACATACATTAAGTTATCGCATACATTAAGGTATCTTTCTGGCTTTGGAGGCTTCAGTCTTAACACATAGTCCATTGTGTAGTTAGAAAACGGCTCTTACAAGCTATTCAAGTGATACTTTCCTTAAAAATAACTGCCACTGATGCAAGACTAAGTCTTTTGTTGGACAAATTTAATTAGGGGGGGGGGGGGACAGACACACAAGCTGGTAA